ATTTGTTTTCCGTTTGCCAACAAACCCAGCTGATTGACAGTAAGATGCTACATGCATTGCGGGTGAACTTTGAAAACTTCTTCTTTTTATAATGTATGTGTCTATTCTGTCTATACACACAAAAAAAAATCAATTGGTAAAATTTACCAATATAAGAGTAAAACGGTCCCCAACCATCGAATTGCCAATTTAACCCATCAAATAGTTACTCTTACGTAACACGGAAGGTTTACTATAAAAATAGTTGTTACTATAAAAAAGGGTAGAATGGACCCATGGACCGTAGTTAAACACCTATTTTATATGTATCCAACCCATAAAATATAGTTGGCAAATTTTGTATAGTAAATATATACCTATAAGTGGATAGAGTTTTTAATTAAGTTCATATTTACGTAAAGTTGGCATGGTAATTTATAATAAAAATAAGTAATTTTCGAATTTCACTTTTTAATACGCTAGACCCAGTTGGTCAATCGATAGGTATTGAAGAGATAAATACATTTTTGTTAAAGCCTAGTACTCACATCGACGAAAACTGCGAGCTAACCATAGGAGTGAGCGAGAGGCAAACAGGCGGCTAAAGCTTTTCGTCGGGTCTGTTTTTCAGAGAGGTACTCAGATGAGCTAAGGAAATACCAGAAAAAATACCAGATTTCGAGAGTGAATTTTCGATGAACGCCGTTAGCCGCGGCCCAAAGAATAAGAAATTTAATCTTTGGCGGTGTTCGTGCAGAAGCGGTGGGGAATTTAAAAATTATAAAAGGAAGAAAAACACCAAAAATCGGCTAAAGGAGGTCAGTACAGGTGAAAAAGGACGCCTAATCCAAACTGCTACACATTATTGTGGGACTTGACCGACAGGAAGCAATACCACAACGGGGGCAAATCCGCAGAATAGTTGAAGCACTGGAGGAGATCCACCAGAGAGAATCCCAGTGGGAAGGAACATGGGACATCGCTTGATCTCCGATAAGCTTTCCATTGAGGACTCCACCTCCACCAGCTACTTGACAGCTAAAGCGGAAATGGAGGACGCGCCGGCTTCTATAGGGAGGAGAAAATAAGGTCGCCCGCTAAGGGACAGCTGGAGGAGTCATCACGAGCCATTATTGGCCAGCCTATTGGGACTTGGAGCTGGACTACAGATGGCGCGGGAAAGATGGCGAAGCATCCGTGGAACGAGAAGGAAGTCTTAAACTTCTAATTTACGTAAATAAAAACATTCGTTGAACATTTTATTTACTTTTATTTTAATTTCTTTGTGCACCAGCAGACTCTTCTTTTTTAAATTGCTCCAATTGATTTCTTCTCCGTTTGGCAACAAGCCAAACAAAGAACAAGATTTTTCAACTAGTGAAACTCTTAGCCGATCTGAGTACAAGGCTTAACATATTTTTTTAGTATCAAAACTAAGGGCGTCACAGTTTTGGGCGGCTTGTGGGTAAACCGATTGGTATTGACAAGACTAATACATTTCAGTTAACATTTTTTTTCTAACTTAAAAATTGTGGGAGCCAGAGGTTTGGACGGCTTGTGGGCGTTAGCAAACTTACGCTGCGTACAGTTACGTGCGTACGTGCAGTTACTCTTTTTATTCGAGTATTGAATCTGTAGGAACCACAGTATTGGGCGGCTTATGGTCGATAGAGAGGGCGTGGCACACTGACGAAACATACATGCGCTGCGCAGGAATCTCAAGAATAGTTTCCGAGATCACAGCGCTTATACGGACAGACAAACAGACAGACGGACATGGCTAGATCGACTCGGCTAGTGATCCTGATCAGGAATATATATACTTTATGGGGTCGGAAACGCTTCCTTCTACCTGTTACTTACTTTCCGACGAGTCTAATATACCCTTTTACTCTGCGAGTTAAGGGTATAAATATGTATATTCTCTAAAAACTTCAACTTACTTCCACCAAAGGCTATAAAATACCAAGATGTGTAACCAGGAGTACAACAAAGCTCACACGTATATGAATCTAATTTATAGAGTGCCGTTACTTTGCCATTCTGTCTCTTAATTGCTCTCTCGCTCCCGACACTCCGCGATGCCAAAAAGTCAAAATTTAATTTTAGGCTCATTTGTCGATTCTTAAATTATGTTGACAAAAGGGAATCGACCCAAAAGGCACATTGCGCCTTACGATTAGTAATGGGCTGAGGCGCATTGCGTGAGTTGTTGGTCCGCGGATAATGCGATCGAGGATCAATTCCACTTTGAGGCTGGCTTTAATTGTTTTATTTATATATATTTTTCTTTTTTTTCTAGCTGCTTTTTATTTTATTATTTACCTGTATTTTACTTGAATATTTTTAATTTTTTGTTCTTTATAATTTTCTTAATATATTTTGTTTATAGCTTTCCTAAATATTTATTTGTTATTTTAAATTTTTATGCAAGATTTCTACTGTCAATCAGCTGGATTTATTGCCAAACGGAATACAAATCAAATGGAGAAATTAAAAAAAAAGTCTGCTGGAATGTTCAAAGAATTTTTTTGTTTATGTAAACTTGCCATCTTTCCCGCGCCATCTGTAATCCAGCTCCGAGTCCCAACAGGCATTTTGGACCTTGAGGAAGTGGGAGCCGGATTGAAAACGGGGTTGTTCCCTCGCCCAGCATCCAGTTGTCCCTTAGAAGCCATCCGCTTTAGCTGCCAAATAGCTGGTGGAGAGTCCTGAGGTTCCCCAATGGAGAGCTTGTCGAAGATCGTTCCGGTGGTCCTGCTAAAAAGATACTTCTATTAGTACAACGTTGCGGGTTTGCCCTGTTGTGGTACTGCTTCCTGTCGGTGAAGTCCCACAATAATATGCAACAGTTTGAAACAGGCGTCCTCTTTTATCTGCACTGACCTCCTACAGTCGTTTTTCGGGTTATCTTTCCATTTTTACGCGGCGCGGCCGCGGCTTACGGCGTTCATCGAAATTCACTCGATAAATCTGTTATTTTTATTTTAAAATGTTTTGTTTTTTTAATTAGGTATATAAAATTTAAAAAAAATAAAAATAAAAAAAAAACGTAGTCCCGCCTTTTTTTAAGAAAAAAATTTTGTTCTTGTCAAAAAGTTGTTTCTTAATATGTTTTTTTTATGAAAAGATCAAACTGAATATAATATATTGGCGTTTTTTATTTACCATTTTTTAAGTGAAATTTTAATTTTATAATTGTTAACATTATAATTCTTAACAAAAATACTAAAATCCTGTATATCAACGTTAAGTAAGTGAAATAATATTGTAAAATAACTTTAAAGTAATCGTCGTTTAACAACAAAGATATATGCACATTGTTTTTTTAAGAAAACATCGAAATTGGCATTTACCAGACAAAAGTACGGGAAATACAAAGTATTAAGTAGAGGCGTTAAAAACTAAATTAAAGAGAAAGTCCGCAAAAGTGCGCTTTTATACTAACTGAGCTTAATGAGAAATAAATACTCTACAAGATAAAAAGGTTTCAGAGGTAAAAACAGCTTGAATCACTTTGTAGCTCCATTTAAAAATACAAAATAACTTAAATATTTAGTTTTTAATTTTTTGAGGTTAGATATTACAAACGAATATACGAGTATTACAATCAATAAATACAATATAAAGGTCACAAGCACAAGTTACAAACCTCTCTGATTAAATGGTATTTCAAGAACTGCAGTGCTTTGTTTAGTTTTTCACTATTTGTCAATTTAAACTAATAAGAACAATACATACAAAACAATGCATCAGGATAACATCAATATCTAATGCTTTTAACAGAATCACTTTGTAGCTCCATTTAAAAATACAAAATAACTTAATATTTAGTTTTTAATTTTTTGAGGTTAGATATTACAAACGAATATACGAGTATTACAATCAATAAATACAATATAAAGGTCACAAACACAAGTTACAAACCTCTCTGATTAAATGGTATTTCAAGAACTGCAGTGCTTTGTTTAGTTTTTCACTATTTGTCAATTTAAACTAATAAGAACAATACATACAAAACAATGCATCAGGATAACATCAATATCTAATGCTTTTAACAGAAAAGTTTAACAGTGCGCACCACTGTTAAGGTATCTGCCGTGAAAGCCTGTTTTTATTTCAACGAGGCGGCAGCGCTAGTAAATCTCCTTTTATTCCTAATAGTTTAAATTGTTAAAAAGTGTAAAACTAAACAAAGCACTGCAGTTTTTGAAATACCATTCAATCAGAGGGACTTGTAACTTGTGTTTGTGACCTTGATATTGTATTTATTGATTGTGGTGCCCGCATATTCGTGTTCTAGTTCTAACCTCAAAAATAAAAAACCATGATTCCAGCTGTTTCCACCTCTGAAACCTTTTATGTCTTCTAAAGAATTTAGTTCTTATTGAGCTCGGTTAGTATACAAGTGCACTTCTGCGCACTTTCTCTAAAATTTAAAGACCTGTACCTAATACCGTAAATTTCTCGCATTTTTGTCTGGTAAATGCCAGTTTCGATGTTATCTTAAAAAAAAACAGTGAATTATTATATCTTATTAAATAACGATTATTTTAAAATTATTTTACAAGATCATTTCACTTACTTAACTTTGATATAAAGGATTTTAGGATTTTTGTTAAGAATTATAATGGTAACAATGTACAAAATTACAATTTCACTTAAAAAATAGAAAATAAAAAACGACAATATTTTTCTTAAATTCAGTTTGGTTTTCTTTAAAAAAAAATTAAGAAAAAAAATGGTTTATTTAATTACCAAGAAAATGTATTTATTTTAAAAAAAGGCGGGATCACGCTTGTCTTATTTATTTTGTTCCCTTTAAATTTGATATACCTAATTTAAAAAACAAAACATTTAAATGTTGCTTCGTTTTTAAGTTATTAATTAATGCCACAAAAAGTAGAAAAATTCCCCATAGTGCACTGCTGGAAATCACTGGCCGCGTTTAGCAGAACAACATGATAAATGATTACTGTTGGATAAGTAATCAGTGTTCAAGTGTTCTGCTGAACGCTCATGATACATAACGACGTCGGCGAAGTAAAAAATGTTTCCTATGAAACTCCACTATGTATTTCAAAAATTTTTTAAATTAGTCCTAGTGCAAGGTTTTGACAATCACTTTACAAACAAATGTCTTTTTTAATAAAATTGCGTTTGTAAAATCTATCTGCCACTGTAACTGCAGCATTGCGCACAGCAATCGTGGACACGTAAAAATCGATCAATCAAATCTTATCGATGTTTTACTCATATATACGCTTACGCCAGCAGTATGGTATCATGTATTACGAAAAGGTAACGTACTATTTTTAAGTTCCATTTTTACTGATCATGATGCGAGAATTCTTGCAACATGATCCGTAATCAAGATAGAACCGCTTGGACCCTTTTAAGTACTTATAACACCTTCATCCTTTTTTGACTATATCCATTTTGTAAGTACCCATTTTGGGATGTGGATGCGCATTGAAATGTTTTTTCCTGTAGATAAGCTTATACGTTTTGGTGCAACAGAGGGCAGGTCATGCCACGGACTTAAGCTGGAGGTTGGCAATATCCTTAAAAAAAGCATAACAATATTTTTTTCAAGATGAGATCAATTGCTGAGTTCCAATCCGAAGCTCCACCAACAATAATTTGCTTATCCGGCGCCATTGCAGTGCATATTCTTTCCTTCTCATTCCGTGTGTGCGGTCTCACTGAAGCAAGTTGTAGAGAATTGTGAGTTTTGTATGTAAAAAAGTCGCTGAAGCGGTATCCCCCTCTGTGTAAGTAGGCTATTACCAAAGAAGCTGAATCAAAAAAAGCTGAGAAACGGAATACCATGTGAAAAATTGGTTTTATAGCAATGAAAACACTTTCTAAAAGTGGACTTTCAAAAAAATTGGACATATTCAATAAGTGCCAAATAGGTTAAGAATAGTCTTGTACTATTCAAACGGAATTTTTACGACCTTTCCGTTAATGACAAAATGTACTTGAAGTAAGTTAAAATTAAGAGTATATTTAACTTTTGTTTCGTAAAAATTCTTATGCCGACTAGTATACTTAACATTTCTTGTGCTTTTACGCCTTTAACCCTTTAGTTGTTTGTCAAATTCCTTGCAAAAAAATCAAATTCAGAAATTTCGGTAAAGAATAAATCGGCATCGAAACTGAGAGACTTGAGTGCGAGAAAGGAAACGCTTTAAATTTTGTTAATTTATCTTTTTTTACCGCCACTCACATAAAAATTTTTTTAGATTACATTTTCCTTTTAATAATTTAGTAATTTAGGTTACTACAATTGACTTACTTGGGCATATTTTTATACCCGTTACTCTTAGAGTGAAAGGTAAAGTATGTAACAGGTAGAAGGGAGCGATTCCTTGATCAGGGGATCACTAGCCGAGTCGATCTAGTCATCTCCGTCTGTTTCTATGAACGCTATGATCTTGGAAACTATAAGAGCTAGAATGTTGGGACTTGGCATGCAGAGCGAGTTTGTTTCAGCAGGGTGCCATGGCCATGCCAAAAATGATTGAAATCGGAAAAAAGTTATAACCAAACAATAATTAATAATGGATGAAGGTTTTACGTTACGTGGCGTTTTAGTGATATCTTGTAAACAGCCGCTAGGAATGAACGATAGGTGGCGCTTTTTTTTTAGCTGTGTAACACGTACCTGAGTTTCACTAGTCAAAAATCACATTCATAATCATACTCATAGTTCAGTCGTTTAAGATTGAACTCCAATACCTTAAAATTGTTTGATAACTTGAAGATGCTATCACCGCTCTCGTGCTCTTGCCCAGGTAGGGCTGGCTACACCTTCCACACGGGGTTGAGTGGGATAGGCACGGTCCGCACTGCACTACTACTACTACATACAAAGTTAAGCTACTCTAGTGCAGACAGCAACTAAGAAATTATTAAATGTATATTAACTTCTGTACATATTATTATTATTTGGAAATCCAAAGTCTATATAGCCCAGGACCGTATCACTCAAAAACATATGCAAGAAATGTATACATAAAACTTAACCAAAAAAGACTAAAAAAATAAGCATACAATCCAACAAGGCACTTGTTCTGAAACAGTTATAGTTCCTTTTAAAAACACTACCATAAAAAAAAATTTGATACGAAAAACGACTTTGTAAATAGACTTTTTAACATGTTTCTATTTGGCCCACTGCATTGCAAAATCTGACCATCTTTTCGTGCATCATGCCGAAACATCCTTAAAACGGTTTTTATTTAATCGAATGTATAAGAAATTATTTTCAGAAATGTGATTTCAGAAGTTTTGATGTTGAAGGTGGAAACGTATCTAATTTTGTACCTCATCAAGAGGTATTTTTCTTAGTTATACTTTATAGAGTCGGAAACGCTTCTTTTTACCTGTTAAATAAAAAAATATTTTTCATGAGTAGTCACATTTTACAAACTGGTGCTTACTTGTATTTCATCTTTAGGACCTAAGAGGACATCTTTTGGCTTGAAGTAGAATTTCAGTGACATTATGTGTCATGATCTTACATATATGAACAAATATCCATTATTTGGTGTATTTCACATTTTCATCCACACTAGGAATCGTAATTGCTTATCTACAGTTAGACTTTGATTTTTGAATATATTTTTTTAGCAGGCTTCAGTGTAGTTCAACCTCCAATTCGAAGGGGTAGTCTCGGGAATTTAGACTCTGCCTGAAGAGTTGGGTATGCTGCCACGCCATGTCGCCCTTGCCACCAGTAAGCTTGGCCACAATTTGGAAACCATTGGCATTATCTACCGAACTGCTTCCATCCATGGCTTCAACGGTCACTGTGATTTTTCCGTCTACAAAAGTTTTGGTCTCAAAAACCAAGTTGTAGGACTTAACTTGTAAATTGGTCTTGCTAAAGTCGAACTTCCAAACGATTTCACCACCTTCAGTATCCTCCAGTCTGGCCAGATAGGCCATTTTCCAATCGTGCTCAACTTTGCGAAATATGTTTTTTGAAGAAAATAGCGCATTTTGCCAACTTTTATAAGTGTTCAGAATTGTTACGTCTCCTTTATCTGCGAACATGTAAGTTTAGTGTATTCCCAATTATTTAAGATAGTTACAACACCTACCTTTGGCATACCGTTCGTAAGTGTCTGTTGCGCAGCTGTAACGCAAATTAAGTTGGCGTTTTTGCATCTCAACTTCATTCAGGTTGAAAACAAAAATCTGTAAATACACCTAAGTATAAGTCGTCACAATCGACCGACAGGATATCACAGGTTACTTACGTTGGTAAAAGTGTGCTCTCCCCGTGACTGTCGCCACGAGAGACTACCCGAACTTCTTCCCTTTAGCTCGTGCTCCGTCGGCTTGCTGAGAAGAAAAACGATTGATTAATTGGAGCGCTGATCTTTGGAAAGAGGGTTAAAAGCTTACCGATCTACGGTCAAGCCGATGACTTCGCGCATGTTGAGCTGGCCCAGCAAAATCTTTCGTTCCGCAGTGCAATTTCTTCGCCGCTTTGTTCGAATTTCCACCAGCGCTTGCACCATTTCCTTTTCAGTGCAAAGCTTTCGCAACTGTAGGATCTTTTGGTGATCGTTCGTGTAGCGCCAAGTTACATCTTGGATGTCATCTCGCGAGTAGGCGAGCACATAGTCGATGTGACGCTTCCAGCCGTGCTGATACATCAGCGGCGAATCCACAACGTTCTCGGAGGGGTCAACGTGCAACCACCGCATCTGCGCCTCGGAATACACCTCGGACCACACGTGATCAAAATGGGAGTGCACAATGCGCGCGTCGTAGTCCAGGGTTCGACAAAGGAATGTGAAGCAGTTAGCGTACTCACCGCAACGGCCCTTGCGCGAGACCAAGAGCTGGGAAATGTCATTATATCGGTAGAACTTGCTCTCCTGGCCGCAGCAGACATTGATCTCCACCCGAACATCACCCTCGCGTTGTGTGCGGCGCAGCTTGCTTTCCTCACTACCGCACACGCGGCACGGTATATTGTTAACCCACTGGAAGAACTGAGTGCTGAACCAGTTGACCAGCTCGACGAGCAGCAGGTCCCGAACATCAGGCTCCTTTTCCTCGCACTCTCCCAGGGCAATTCGCTCCTGAATTTCTGTAAGTTTCTCGGTTGCCCTTTCAGTCAGCTCGTCCACGGGAATCAGCGTGCGGCCAGTGGCGAGCAGAAGCTCGTCTTCGTACTGCATAACTGCATCAGAGTACAGTTCCAGCGACTGCAGAAAAAAGTTGGTGGTGCGCTGAAAACAAACTATCTGGTGAGAATTCAGCCGAAATCAATGGTGATGGATGTCTCGCTTACCAGCACACGGGGAAAGGCGATTCGCTGACGATACTCCACCGAGGGCTTGATAAACAATGGCGAGGGCGTGTTGCTGACGGAACTTTGTTGGGGCGGACCTGCCGAAGAACCGAAGCTTAGGATTAAGATGCAGACACATCTTGCCCCCAGGTAAAAGCTTACTCTTAGGCACAGTTTCACTGAGCCAGGCAGAGCGCCGATCGCTCAGCGCATCCCGGTACTTCCGCACCTGCTGCAGGGACACTCCGGTGGGCAGGGTAAAGGCGTTGGAGGCCGGTGCGCGGACGAAGCCGATGGCTTCCAGCAGCTTCTCACACCCGGGCAGCGTGAGCAGCTTCTCCTTGATCGCTTTGTTCTCCAACCGTATGGTGCGGAATTTTGAGTTGTCCGGCTGCGCCAACACGTTTTCCAACAGCACAAGAAGGATGCGCACAGCTTCCAAGTACGCTTTCTTTTGTTGTTTTCCCGTGGAACGGGTCTTCGGCTCTATCTGGTGAACGCACTCCAAGTTGATGTCCACCATGTTGATGACTAGTTACCGCTATTACATACATAGGTGAGAGAGGAGCCAAGTTGAAGCCAAGGGCACGCAATTTCTTCAACTGCAGAAAAACGATAACAATTTTATAACCGTGTTCCACTGGTACTATTACATTTTAAATATTGCTCATTGTGAACTACCTTATTATACCCGTTACTCGAAGAGTAAAAGGGTATACTAGGTTCGTCGGAAAGTATGTAACAGGCAGAAGGAAGCGTTTCCGACCCCATAAAGTATATATACATATGTTCTTGATCAGAATCACTAGCCGAGTCGATCTAGCCATGTCCGTCTGTCCGTATGAACGCTGAGATCTCGGAAACTATAAAAGCTACAATACTGGGATTAGGCATGCAGATTCCTGAGATTGGTCTCGTCAATACCTATCTATTGATCAAAAAAAGTATGTTACAGGTAAAAGGTGTATGTAAAGTATATATATTCTTGATCAGGATCACAAACCAAGTCGATCAAGCCATGTCCGTCTGGCTGTCTGTCCGATCTCGGAAACTATAAAAGCAAAAGATTTGGGATTCGGCATGCAGATTCTTAAAGTTCTGAGACAGCGCTAGTTTATTTTAGAAGGGTGCCACACCCACTCTTACGCCCATACGCCCACGCTAAAACCTGTCTAGCGTCGACATTTGTGAAGATGTTGTAAAAGTGTATATGCAATTTTGTTTCCACTATCAATGTGTACCTTCATGCCAAATTTATACAAATCTGATCATCTATTAAAAAATTATTAGCAAGGAAAGGATGCGATTTAAGGTGGCGCTGGTGCAGGGTGTGCAAGATTATGAACAGTCGCTTTGCTGCTTGCATATCTCCATCTTCATAGCTCTCCCCTTAAAGCGTCGATGTAACTCTAAGTTCTTCTTGACAGTGGAAACAATGATGACCGGGAACAATAAAAAATGGTAAGCGCAGAGGCAACAGGTTTGGTTAGATTAGCCAGATCAGCTGATATCGGATGGTATATGGTGGATCTCCTTTGTGGCAACCGTATTTTCACATTTGTCAAATATCGCAAACGTTTCGAACGGATGGACTCTAAGGGATGGGGGTATTATATCCTCTGCCCACAGCCGTGCAAAATCGCTGTGGCATTTTTAAGTGGATTCTTGTTCACAAGCAAAGGATTCTTGTTCATCAGCAAACCGAATACGAAAGGAGGGGAAATGCCAATTCAGTTGCTCCGAAAAATATGTGAAAGTGAATAGGGTATTGTCAGAAAATTGTCATTGGAGCAGGAACAAGGAGCCTCCCAACGCCACGGGAGTTTAAAGGAAATCGCCGTAAAGACCCTGCACCTGTTGCACCAAAACGTACATTATTTATCTAAAGAAAAAGCCATTTAAAGGCGCATCCATCTCTCAAAATAGTTGCTTAAAAAATTGATGTAGTCAAAACACAGTGTGCGACGCAGGAGTTAAAAAAAAATTTCAACCACCGTAAATAATAATTTTTTTTGTTAAACAAAAAAATGATGGCAAAGAACAATACTAAAAAAAGCAACTAAACGAGTACATTTCTTATGCATCACAGTTTCAATAGCCGGTCTAATTTTTATTTTTCCAGTTTATATATTTTTATTTTATTTTGAAAGATAAACGGTATTATTTGAGTTCTACACATATCCCAAAAAATAATTATTATTTGTTGAGTTTTATTTTCAGGTCCAGAAATTATTATTATTCCATAAGTTTTATTTTTCGCTTGACAATAACGCATACTTGTTGATTTTTATTTTCTGATTGAAAAGTTAAACTTATTCCTTAAGTTATATTTTTTAATTGAAAATTTAACTCAAACTGCAATTTAAGCTAGATGTCTTTGAAAATATATGTTTTAAGTCGATGACGAACAACACTAATTTTAAATTTATACAATTACGGTGACATCACCAAAAAAAATTTTTATATTTTTTTTACATAGCCCTAGTACTCAGATCGGCTAAGAGTGTCACTAGTCGAAAAATCGTATTCTTTGTAGTGTGACCGAAGTTTTCAACGTTCACCCGCAATGCATGTGGCAAGGTCTTACAAGCGGCTTAGGGGCCGTCCATAAACCACGTGGACAGTTTTGGGGGAAGGGGGGGGGGGGGGGGGGGGGGGGGGGGTGTTCGTCAAAAGTCCACGATTTTCCACGAGGGGGGGGGAGGGGGGCTCGAGCTAAATGTCCACCTGGACATAGCAAAAATTTAATTTTAATCTTTGTTATTTATTCCACTTTTAAATTTACTATTAAACTTCTATTTATTTACCATTTTTAAAAATCTCTGTAGATATAATTTTTAATAAGAAAAAAAATTTTCAATGAAAAAGTCCAATAAGACAAAATGGGGGGTGGGGTAGTTAAAAATCCACGATTGTCCACGAGGGGGGGTTAAAAAGTGCTTAAAATTTGTCCACGTGGTTTATGGACGGCCCCTTATTGTTGCCAAATGGAAAACAAATCAATTTAAAAAAGAAAAGTCTGCTGGTGCAGAATGAAATTTAAATAAAAATAAATAAAATGTTCAACGAATGTTTTTATTTATGTAAATTAGAAGTTTAAGGCTTCCTTTTCGATCCACGGATGCTTCGCCATCTTTCCCGCCATCTCTAGTCCAACTCCGAGTCCCAATAGGCTGGCCAATAATTGCTGGTGATGGCTCCTCCAGCTATCCTTTAGCGGGAGACCATAATTTCTCCTCCCTATAGAAGCCGGCGCGTCCTCCATCTCCGCTTTAGCTGTCAAGTAGCTGGTGGAGGTGGAGTCCTCAATGGTGAGCTCGTCCTTCCCACTGCGATTCTTTAGTGGATCTCCTCCAGCTCTTCAACTATTCTGCGGATTTGCCCCGTTGTGGTATTGCTTCCTGTAGGTCAAGTCCCATAATAAGTGGCAACAGCTTGGATTAGGCGTCCTTTTTCATCTGCACTGACCTCCTTTAGCCGTTTTTGGTGTTTTTCTTCCATTTTTAATTTTTAAATTTCCCACCGCTTCTGCACGAACATCGCCAAAGATTAATTTTCTTATTCTTTGGGCCGCGGCTAACGGCATTCCTCAAAAATTCACTCGCGAGATCTGGTATTTTTTCTGGTATTTCCTTAGCTCATCTGAGTACCTCGCTGAAAAACAGACCCGACGAAAAGCTTTAGCCGCCTGTTTGCCTCTCGCTCACCCCTACGGTTAGCTCGCTGTTTTCGTCGATGTGAGTACTAGAGTATATTTAACAGGAATACCCATAATAAATTAAGCCTAGGCAAACTGAAAATCGAAAAACCAGTTCCGTTCCTTTCATAGTGGATGTACAGTATTTTTCAATAGTTGAGTACCACATTATATTTGGACGCAGATGGTCTCACTGCTTTTCAACCACTTTAACGAAAAAGTAGGCGTCGGTCAGTTCAATCTTGGAGCGTCTGTCATTGTGCTTGGAGTGCGCAGCGGATAACTAAAACCTATCTTTACATATTTCCATAAAAGGTAAGGTTTCTGCCCGGCTCTTTGTTCAATTTTGGGTGCGGGAGTCCTTCGCTCCGCTCCGCTCGCCTGCATGTTTTATGAATGGAGGAATAAAGTGGAGGATGGTTTATGGCCGCACTTTTCTTTTGCGGCAGAATCCCCCGCCCAGTCTCCTTGATTCGAGTGTACATATCCGGCGTTTTTTTCCTTTGTAGATATCAATCTATCTGCAGCAAAATGTGTGACGAAGAGGTTGCAGCTTTGGTGGTCGACAACGGATCTGGAATGTGCAAAGCCGGCTTTGCCGGTGATGACGCACCGCGTGCTGTCTTCCCCTCGATTGTGGGCCGTCCACGTCACCAAGGCGTGATGGTTGGAATGGGTCAGAAGGACTCGTATGTGGGCGATGAGGCGCAGAGCAAGCGTGGTATCCTCACTCTGAAGTACCCAATCGAGCACGGCATCGTGACCAACTGGGACGACATGGAGAAGATCTGGCATCACACTTTCTACAACGAGTTGCGCGTCGCTCCGGAGGAGCACCCAGTCCTGCTGACAGAGGCTCCCTTGAACCCTAAGGCCAACCGTGAGAAGATGACCCAGATCATGTTCGAGACCTTCAACACCCCGGCAATGTATGTGGCCATCCAGGCGGTGCTGTCTCTGTACGCCTCCGGACGTACTACCGGCATTGTGCTAGACTCTGGTGACGGTGTCTCCCACACTGTGCCCATCTATGAGGGTTATGCCCTGCCCCACGCCATTCTGCGTCTGGATCTGGCCGGCCGCGATCTGACCGACTACCTGATGAAGATCCTTACCGAGCGCGGTTACAGCTTCACCACCACCGCCGAGCGCGAAATCGTTCGCGACATTAAGGAAAAGCTCTGCTACGTGGCCCTGGATTTCGAGCAGGAGATGGCCACGGCTGCATCCAGTTCTTCCCTGGAGAAATCGTACGAGCTGCCTGACGGGCAGGTCATCACCATTGGAAACGAGCGCTTCCGCTGCCCTGAGTCGCTCTTTCAGCCCTCTTTCCTGGGCATGGAGGCCTGTGGCATCCACGAGACCACCTACAACTCGATCATGAAGTGCGATGTAGACATTCGCAAGGATCTTTACGCCAACACCGTTCTGTCCGGCGGTACTACCATGTACCCGGGTATCGCTGACCGAATGCAGAAGGAAATCACTGCGCTGGCTCCATCGACCATGAAGATAAAGATTGTTGCCCCGCCGGAACGCAAGTACTCCGTCTGGATAGGCGGCTCCATTCTAGCCTCGCTGTCCACTTTCCAGCAGATGTGGATCTCGAAGCAGGAATACGACGAGTCCGGCCCCTCCATCGTCCATCGCAAGTGCTTCTAAGCAAAGATGGGCGTGGTCATGCCAAACCGAACACACCCACTACAGACAAAGGGCGGGAGTCGGATGTATAAGGCATGAGTACATTAATACCGGGAGCAAGCGCACAACTCTCCTGCTCCTTCCAAAAGAATGCATTCCATCAACTTTTATGCACAATTATACACGTACGCATCAGCTTTACATACTGTTTTATTCGAAATTCAAGTTCATATGCCAATTGGCGTTTATAAAATCAATTCATATGTAATTTTCTTTACTTCATGCATTCCTACATATGTATTAAAATAAAACATACCATACCACTAAAATACTTGTAACAGCTTTTAAGTAATAAAGCGACGAAAAGAACTGAAAAATTCCTTGTTCGCATAATTTTTTGATGGCACTGCTAGCAATTGGCTAATAAATGACTAAGCGGGTCTGTGGCATTGATATTTTAATAGCTAAGCGCTTATTTTACTGCCACGTTTGTGCGAGGGAGTCAACTGCGATAAACACTTATACAAAAAGCAAACTTGGTGATTTGGAGTCAGTTGGGAGCCATCATTGGTTTCCAGGAAGGGTTTTGATAACAAACAATTGGTCAGCACTGTCTGCGATTTCCGACGGAACGGATATCTGTGCATGAGTGTGATTCAGTTTAGACTCGCTCCGCTTATCGCACGACCTCGCCCAGACATAGCGGTATTTTACGTTGATTAATTGCAAGTTAAACCTCAAAAATAACTGCAGCAGCGTTACCTTATAAGGAAATAATGGATACAAATCGAACGCGCACTCGCAACTCGAGGCGAAAATTTTTCCGCATTGTTGACTCACTCATAAATGTTTGGAGTTGTTTTTGTTGTCATCAATCGGCATTGTGTTTGCGTAGGTCCGTTTATGGGCGGGGTCGGGCTTCCCGTTGTCACTTTGGTAATGAAACGTAGAGAACGACATTTTAGGGGAACTCTGACAAATCTGCGGGTGATCTGGCCGGAGAATCAAGTTGACCAAATTTAATCAGTCGACTAGTAAGCAGTGACTACGGAACTGACTTTGTCCAATGGACAGTGTCCATATATGTATGTCATAAATCATATTTTTAAAAAATATTTTTTTCTTTATTTATATATACATATATTGTCAAAACGGGGTAGCATATTTTCTAAGTTTGTAGCTTACATGAATTTGAACGTCGCAGCACGCGGCTACCGGCTTTGTTAAATATGAGTCCAAATGATATCCTTATACTCCGTATTATATATATGATTATTTCTTGTAATAGAACTTCATAAATATTAAATATGAGTTTTTTTATATTATTAAATATACATATCTACGCGATTCGTGCATTAATAACCATTCTTACATATGTAGCATGGAGAGCACCGAATTAAATAAATAAATTATAAGGTTCCCTTAACTCTATGTTTTTATTAAAGTTACTTGAGGGAATTTATAGATATATAAAAACATACTTGAACACTTTGTGCATATCTGTACATTCAGATTCATAGTCCACGTAGAATTATAAAAAATCTTTATAGGTTGAGAAAATATATATGTATAGTAAATTTAAATAGATTAATCACTCAAATTGGTTAAAATGTTTTTATTTTTTCGACTGAAGCTCTCTCCTAACTCCTTACAAAAATACTCACCTAAGCAATGTATAGAAAACTTAAGGAGTTGTAAGCTTTGAGGAAAATGAATAAGAAACTAGATACTTGGCAAGTACGATTCTACGAAAGCAGTTATTGCATGTTAAAGAATTTATTAGAACTAAATGTTGTATAATGCAATTTTAAAATCTCATACTTGAAATTATGAATACCAAATTACCAAAGGCAAAAATCTTTTCCAATTCCCCATTTTAAATTGTTCTTACAAGGCTGTAAATTCTCGCCTAATGATGCTGATCTAGAATATATATAGGGTTGGAAATATCTTCTCACTGCACTTCTCTGCAACGATCATTCTTTCGATTATCACATCCCTGCAATTCCATTTCAGAGAATTGGCTTCGATTTCATATTTATAAGTGAAGGGAAGAAATTTATTTTCTTTGTTCTAAATGTACATGTTTTTGTATATGTATATGTGATTACAAATTACACTTAAATGTTTAAAAAAATAATCATATGAATTTAGCATTGCGCACGGCAAGTAACGTATAGCTAGCACTTGATGATTGGCGTTTGTGTTGCTTTTTCTTCTTATATATCTGAAAAAGCATATAATGTCGTTGATAATGTTGAGTAAGAGTAAGGGTAAGACACGAATTTAATGAATTAACTAAAAGCGAATTATTCGTTTGTATTTGTATGCTGCAATTATCGTTTTCAACTTGACCTATAAACTAGTGAAAATAAAGAAATTTGAAAAAAAGGGCCTCCGCATACATCTGACTTTACGCTTGTATATCTATATATATAAAAGTGTTCGATTATTTATATTTATGCTATATGCGTTATATGAATAATAATACATGTGATATATAAATCAAAAAATACGACAAGGATGTCAGGAGGTATTAATTCGACCAAGTATCAGTATGTTTGTCATAATAAACAACAAAAAGAATGTCCCGATGGAAAGTCCTTTGAAATTGCACTCCACTTTTGCAACTATTTCTTAGCTTAAACGCTAATAACATGAATCGTATCTTATGGAGTTACCTAAACAAGCACACTGAAGTCTAGAGTGTGCTGTAGTAGAAAATCTATGAAAAGTTGAAGTAAGTAACTTAGTAAAAATTGTCCGTTTTGGGATCCCCGGCGATTATTTGCAGCTGTCTTGCTTATCGTCACGGCTGCTGGCCGCTTCCGTGATTCCGTAAAGCATTTATCAGTAGGCCTGTGCCTCCTTATAGTCGCTCTGGTCGGATGTATAAAAATCTTCCAGCTTCCACTGCAGCGTCTCAAAAGTGGGTCTGCGCATTGGGTCCTTGTGCCAACACTCCAGCATAATCTCGTAAAGGCGTGGCTCGCAATTCGGGGGTTGTGGCATACGGTAGCCGTGCTCCACTTGCGTTAGGACCTCGGCGTTGGTCATGCCTTACCAAAAGGAATTCAGTTGATTATGTTGTTCCATTATTGTAAGTTTCGAAGGCAGTTGAATGACTCACCTGGATATGGTATACGTCCGTATGTGACCAACTCTGTGAGTAAAATACCGAAGCTCCAAACATCAGATTTTATTGAGAATTTGCTGTAGTTTGCAGCCTCGGGAGCCGTCCATTTTATGGGGAAGCGGGCGCCCACTCGTGCCTCGTACTCGTCCTCCTTGATGAGCCTGTACAATGAAGATTCATATTAACTTATGAAACTAACTTGTACGCCCTAAGTTGCTGCCTTTACCTGGCTAAGCCAAAGTCAGCAATCTTGACGATGTTGCCATCACCAACAAGCACATTGCGTGCCGCCAAATCTCGATGGATATAATTTTGGGACTCCAGGTAGGCCATTCCAGCTGCTATTTGCGCTGCCATATCAATCAGAGTTTGCATTTTGAGGCTCCGACCCTTGCCTGCAATGGCTAAAAGATAAAAAACAAAAATAAGCAATTGACACAGTTTTGGTGAATGTAACCAATCAAAATAATGGGATAAACTCATCCATTTAGTTTTATGCTTGGCATACCTTGAAGATATTCCAGCAGGGAACCGTGCTTCATCAGCTCTGTAATTATGTAAATGGGCTCCTCCACAGTGCATACCGCATACAACTGGATGAGCTTGGTGTGGCGTAATTTCTTCATGATCTGAGCCTCCGCTAAGAAGTCCTTGGGATCCATTGTACCTAAAGGGAGAATCAAACATCAATACACCGTACTGCAGGCAATTGGTCAGCAGCAGAATTACCAGATTTCAGAGTTTTAATGGCAACAGGAGTCGTGTTGTTCCATAGTCCCTCCCAGACATCGCCAAACTGCCCTGAACCCAGCTTCCGCACAAATTTCAGGGATGTTCTGTCGATTTCCCACTGATCGCGAGTGCGATGCGAAAGTCCCTCCGTAACAGGTTTCTCGATCTGTGATGCGATTGTTACATGGAGGATAAAGAAATAAATTAGCAAATGCCTTTCTATTGCACATTTTCAGGCGCAGCAGTGTTTAATTTGAATTTGAATAAATGATAGTGCCAATTTTGTAATGAATTTTTAGCGTACATTTCGGCCTTATTTACAAATTACAGGTTTCTTTTTTATTAGCTGGCTCAGATGCGAGTAAGGGGGAGGGTCTTAGTTCGGTGTTCAAAGTAAAACAGTCAGAGTGCAAAAAATTAGTTTTAACCTGTCGATTTCACTGTAAAGTGCAAAAAGGGGGATGTCATGTGCCAGGGATCGTCCCGAATGAAATTTGAACACTGACTCCTTGTTTCGGCACTAAGTTGATTGTACTTTAATGAAATATGATCGGATAATTTGATTTATTGTGAGTTGTGTTGATTGGCGGTGACAGAATGACTATGGTTTTTGGAGCTTTTGTGTTAATGGGAAATAAACACACAGCACAAAGCTTTAGATAGATATTCCTACCTCAAAGACACCCGAAAAAGAATTTGTCTTTTGAATTTGAATTCGAGTTGGGTTGGTTGTCGTTTTATGTAGTTATTTTATAGGCATAATTTGGTGTTAGTTAAAGAAAAATGAAACAAATACAAGGAAAATGTAAACAGTTCTTTAGTATACACGTGTTGGACATTTTGAAATAAACAAACCAAGGCATAACAATGTCAAATACAAATTTTGTCATTCCACGCGTCCACACATTTGGCAAGTCGGATTTATAATACGCGATTAAACCAAAGCAAATAATGTCTACAGCGACCCTATTCGCTTGTCAGCTTACCTGGACACACGGCTTGCAGAGATTTACGCAGAGGCCATCCGAGTCCTTCGAATAGTGTTCGACCAGCTCCTGGAGGGTTCTGTTTGGACGAGTGGTAAAAGGTGTCAGTGCTGCTGTTTACTGGGGCTCGGAGTCCGCGGACCACCAGCTGATGAGAACTCACCTAAATGTTGTGCGCCTGGCAATGAAAAAACCCCCCTCGTCCAACTGTCTGATGCGATAATGCTTAACCGTATCGCCATCGCGCACTGCAAAAATCATTCATACACAACCATATTAATTCCCCGTAAATGTAATGCACGATAAGGCTAATTGTATGCGTAGGTCGACACGCACCTGATAGCGAATAGTCGTTGTGACGGCTCTCGGAATCTCGAATTAAAAATGCACCGTGCTCGTTCTCCGGCAGTAGAAGTTTTTTCTCAGCCTCAATACGTTTGATTTTGCGGAAGTACCAGCTGCAATTAAATAGAAAATCGGCGAGAAGGAAATTATTAGTATGGCGACAAGTGAAAAATATGTAGAAAAAAAGATTCGTTTTGTCATAAACCGAATGACTTTATTAGGGAAACCGCTCTAGCAAGGTTACAAAATTGTATGCCCCCAGTTTCTCTTGCTCTAAAATAGAAAAGCGGTAAAAGGGAGGAACGCTGTTATCGCGCGAGAGGCCTATAGATACTTTCTATATATGTATGTGTTTTATCTAGTTCGTGCTGGAGATTGTAAACTCCCTATTTCATCCCAGTCATTCTGAAATGATCACCAAAAAATCACCAGAATGCGCCTATATGCACCTATTAAATACATGCTGTACGCATTTATTTTAAATGCGCATGTAAATATGCACATGTATGCTCTCAAAAAATAAATATCTGTAAGCTTCCCCCAGGAATACATAAAACAGGATTTTAATTGCATAACTATTTTTTTTATTTTAATATCGCTCTCCTTCTGTACGGCTCCTGCTTCGAGGGTTGCTCTCTTCTGTGCGCACTTCATCTTATAAAAGAGTGTATCCTTTTGTCGCAGAAAAGCTTGCCGAACGTCCTTCTCGTAATCCAGCATGGAGTACCCATCTCTTTATTGCGTTTCTTCTAGATATTTAGCCAATTTAATATTATATATTTATATACATGCATATGCATACATTTTACTCAATTAATTTGTTTTTCGTTTGTGCAATGTTTACTTATACCTACGTATAATGTAATTCGTACTTTACACATTCGTACATATGCTTTTGCAGCTGTGTTTATCAATTTTTGTGTTATAGTGATCTACATAAACTACAATTAACTTACCTGTAAAAATTATAAATTGGTGGCAGAGAGGGTGAAACATTTTGAAAACAAGAGGTACAAACTTCACTTTTCAGAATTATAAATGAAACTGACGGGAAATGCAAGAGACGAGAAAACCCGAGCGCTTCCATGCATCTACCCTTTTCTCTTTATTATTTGCTTGTCAAGCAAACAGTACCGAAAAAAGCGCTTATCGGCAACTTCGGGTTTAGTTTTTGTTGTTTACATTCAGCACTTCTAAAAAGCACCGCAATGCAACGCACCTAGCATACCTTTAATTGGGTGAAAGTATGACCTTAAAAATTTCATATAAAAAAGTCCGCCCTGTGGTACATACATTGCTATTTTATTTAATTAATTTGTTTTTCGTATGTATGTACATTTTACAATGTACATGTGTATTATGTAATTTGAAACTCGCACTTATGTACATATGTATGCTTTACTTACTGTGTTAATATTGAACTATATTAACTACACTTAACTTGCCCGTGAAAATATTAATCTTAAATTGGTGGCAAAAAACAACAACTTTTTAAAATTGCGTGTCACGAACTTCGCTTTTTAAAAACAAAAATGAAACCGACGAAAAATGCAAGAGAAAAGAAAAACCACGCTATTCCTTCTTTGTTCCCTTTTGTCTTTTTTAAAACATCATCTAGAAGGCACCGCTATGCACTGCACCAAGCACTTTCGACTGGTGTGGTCTGGGGTGCTTTTCTGTTCTGCCTTTAGTGTTTGTGTGCTATTTCAATAACAATTTTAGTAAGGATTTCATGAGCTGTGAAATGACACTACAGTAAAACAATAACACTGTGGCGGTAGTCAACGTATTGACGAATCGCACTAGGAGAGTGTGCGAACGCTACTACTATATATAGCCGCAGAATTGACAAGAACGCTATAGTCGATTGCCTCGACTATCAGATACCCGTTACTCAGCTAAAGGGACCAAAGGGAGAAGGAGATATGCAAGCAGCAAAGCGAGATTGTAATGCGCCACCTACCCGCGATCTGTGGACGGCCGACAGATTTAAGCTTAATGGGCGTTAGAGTGGGCGTGGCAAACTTATTTTTTTGTCAATCGATAGGTATTGACGAGACCAATACATTTTAGTTAACAATTATTTTCTGGCATAAAAACCACCACAGTGAAAAAAACTTCCGCTGCGCAAAAAGCTCGGGAATCTACATACCAAATCCCAACTTTCTAGCTTTTGTAGTTTCCGACATCGCAGCGTTCATCCGGACGGACAGAGAGGCGGACATGGCTAGATCGATTTGGCCAGTGATCCTGATCAATAATATATATACTTTATGGGGTCGGAAACGCTTCCTTCTACCTATTACGTACTTTCCGACGAATCTAGTATACCCTTTTACTCTACGAGTAACGGGTATAAAAATCTGCAGTGGGAGTCCGAATACAACGAGTGATACACAAATCGTCACGACTCCTTACCTCGTTAGAACATGTTTTTTTTTTATAGCAATCAAAAAAATTCATGGTTTTTGGTATTTATATATATTGCATAATAAACGTGATAATTGAGTAGTGGATTCAAACTTGAATGGAAATAAAACAATGAAAATATCATATTCAGATTCACTTGCTGGCAAAACCTGTAATCATTTCGCCACGATGTATGGCTCTGCTAAACTGTCAAAGCTCGATCCATTTCAATCTCATTTGACGCAGCATTAACATTGACCTTAATGAAGAATCGTAACTGGATTGGTTTCGGTTCGCTCTCTCTTCATCTATTTATCGAGGGAGCGAAGTGGAAAATTAAAAGATGCGAGTGACAGATCTCTTTCATAACACCCCGACTCACATTTTGAAGTTCGTGGCGAATGCCAGATAACGGATGTTGAAGAAAGAGTAGCTTAGTCTGCGCAACACACTGAGAGCCGAAAAATAACAATGTCGTGATATGTGTTTGCCTTTATATGGGTTATCCACTCCTCGATAAAGGGGATAAAGGGGAGATTTTTCTTTTTGATGTACACACTTAAGTGGAACGGGTTTCGGATCTTAAATAGTAAAAGCTAATTATACGACCACTTCTGCAGCCAAAATATGAAAGGACAGAAGGTGATTAAGTAGTTATGCACTCTACCCATGATCCAATTTAGTTCTGACTTCGCAATACTAGTAACTAGTTATTATTAACAGGACTTTGTCTTTCGCAGTCAGCCAGACAGCCGAATTTCAATTCAATGTTCGTTTGCTCAGAAGGCAACGAAGCGTCTTGCGATTAGTTCTAGCCACCTACAACAAAGTAATCTAGCAATTTGTTAGTCAACATGCCTTGTTTGAACATGCTCTTGTAAGGAAGGTGTTTGCATATAGTTTGATTGATTAAAGAGGCATAAGCGAGGGGAGGTTAAATTCTCGCCAGCACGTGTCTATTACAGCAGTAAACGTTTATTAGACGTCATAAAGGCACTGCCAGGGGTTTGGACCAATCCGTTGCTCCTTGTAGAGGCTGCTAGCCATTTGAGCGTTTTTATAGACACTCTCCTGGCCTGGTCGAGTTAGCTCAGTGTGCTTCAACCATTTATGTGCATGCATGACTTTCATAAATATGCAACATGATTTAATTATACACAAGACAAGTCGACGACAGGCATTCCGTTGGAGCTCTTAGGAGCAGCTAAGTCGTTCAGGCAGAACGAGAAGCGCAAAAATCATGATACCTCCTCTGGATTCACCGTCTTCCACAACGAATACGAGCCGATCTTTTCAAATATAATAAAGCAACACAAATTCGAATATGCAAGGTGTCAATCTAATAGTAGATTTAAACATTAAATTAAATTACTTACATTTATTGTCAAAGTTTGAAGTTTGTTATTGAACAACATTTTTCTTATATTTATTTTTACAACACGCCAATGCCGAAATTAAGCGGCTAAATCAAGCGTATGTGCCGCTTCCATAAAATAGAGCTCTGGTCTCTGGCCTGTCTTGCACCAATTTGCAGCTATTTATACCCGTTACTCGTAGAGTAAAAGGGTATACTAGATTCGTAGGAAAGTATGTAACAGGTAGAAGAAAGCGTTTCCGACCCCATAAAGTATATATATTCTTGATCAGGATCACTAGTCGAGTGGATCTAGCCATGTTCGTCTGTCAGTCTGTCTGTCTGTCCGTATTAACGCTGAGATCTCGGAAACTATAAGAGCTAGGTTATTGGGATTTGGGATGCAGATTCCTGAACGCCCAAAACTGTAGCTCCTACAGTTTTAACGCTAGAATAAAAAGTTTAACTAAAATGTGTTGTTCTCATCAATACCTATCGATTGGCCAAAAAAAAATGGCCACGCCCACTATAACGCCCACAAACTTCAAAAAATCGTAAGTATGAACGCAAATGTCTCGGAAACTATTAAAGATAGAATATAATAGAATAGATAGAATTGGGATTTCAGATTTAGATTCCGTAGCCTTGTACGCAGCGCAAGTTTGTTGCGTGAATATGCCACGCCCTCTCTAACGCCCACAAACCGCCCAAACCTGTGGCACCCACAATGTTCATGCAAGGTAACAAATTTTAACTGAAATGTACTATTTTCGTCAATACCTATCGATTGATCCAAAAAAATTTGCCCACTCTAACGCCCACAAACCGCCTAAGCCTGTGGCGCCCACAATTTTCATGCTAGAAAAAATTTTAACTGAAATGTATTGGTCTCGTCAATACATGTTGATTGACCAAAAAAAAAGTTTGACAAGCCCACACTAACGCCCATAACGCTTAAATCTGTCTACCGCCCACATAACCATAAATTGAGATCGCATTTCAATATCGCTTGGCTACTTGCACATCTCCAGTAACGGGTATCTGATAGTCGAGGTACTCGACTATAGCGTTCTTTCTTGTTTTAATCTTGGCATGCCCATTTCATTCGATTTTGTGTAATAATATGCGAAACAACATTTGAGACGTGCAGTACTTTTATTTTTCTATAATTTGTCTACGCCTCAACATGGTTTTTTGGCCTTTTTTGGCCATGGCTAATGAAACGGCGATTGCAAGATGCATGTATGATCTTAGTTGAAACATGTTTGTCTCGTTTTAGCAAGTAACTTTATCGCACTGTGCCTGGGCATAGGCACATTAGAGTTAAAATTAGATTAAATGACGAGTCAATCGGTCAACTGTGTAGGAGGAGCCTGCTCCAATTCATTGGCCCGAGGCAGGGTAGACTGATTGACACTTGTTTGCCCTAGAGCCTTTGGCCGTTTCCATTCACTTGAGGCAGTTGGGCCACGCGATTAGCGTTGCCAGTTCGAATTGATTCCAGCAACGGTTTGGCCTCGTCAACCGCTGTCGTGGTCGCTCTATATTCCCCATTCTAGAGGTGCCATTATAAAAATGCATTCATGCAGGTCATGCCGGTTTCCGCAGACATGGTTTGTGCAGTCTGTTAGCGGACAACTTTGAAAGGGGTTGGTGCGGTTCGGCTTAGTTCCTTACACGTCACGAGAATGAGTAAGCGATAATGTGAACTGCCCAGCTTGGCGATAATCTTCACATTTAATAAGTGGCTGATATTTGCATTTCCTAATTTCTGTCCAATCAGTTTCCCGAATAGTCTTAACAGTTTTAAAATATTACCTGTTGTATACCAGAAATCTTCTTCCCAAGGTCCGTCCCGCCTTTTATTTTAAACCAAAAAATATAAAACAAACTGCATCAAAAAATTCCTTCAAAGTAATAGAAATTGAGTTGGCTTTAATTTGCCCAAAGTCAGCTCTATCAGAATTATGCTAATAGCCTTACCTTGAGCCCTATGTCAAAGAAACAAAATCTTGAAACGTTTTTTTGTTTTTTATATTCTTAATTAGGATCTCTCGCCGAGTCGAACTACAAATATCCGTGTGTCCATTCGACCCTATGATCGCTAAGATCTCGGAAAGTATAAAAGCTATCTTAAACCGTATAAAATTTAGTAAGTAATTGCGTGGCTTGCGTGCTAAAATATACTTGCGCTGCTCAAGAATATCTAAAATCTACACGTTTAGCCCCAACTTTATAGCTGTTATAGTTTCGAAATATCAGCGTTTTTGAGGACGATTTTTGAAGGTTGTGGGCG